GTGTGGGGGAGGGAGGCGGAGCACTTCTTCACCCGCTTGACTGAGCAGCTGTTGACGAGGCAGGGGTGGTCAGATAGGGGGCGAGGGCGGCGGGTGCATGGGTGGCTGCGTGCTCGTTTGTCTGTTGCATTGGTGCGGGCTGCTAGCCTGTGTTTGAGGGGCGGGAGGCAGTCATGGCGTGGTGTTGGGGCGATGGACGGGGCTGGGGTGTTCTCATCGGATGAGTGAGCGTGCCCTTTGTGCATAGGCATATGTGGATAGATTCATGGAGGCGATTTGGACAAGCGAGTGCATGGATGCCATCTGTCAATTATCTCTTCCCTAAGCCGAGTGTGTTGTCATTTCTGTGTCTACCTCTGCCACAGGATCTCGGTCTTTCTCCCAGGGGTCGGCTTCACCTAAGAGCATATACGCCTGATCTCAATCAACACACACAAGGCCTCACAGATCTCTCAGTGGCTGTTGACTGCTTCTTCTGTGTGTCGCCTAGCAATGGGTTTCTGTCGGTCTTTGTCCCCTCGGAGGCCGCAGGAGCCGTCGTCTGGCTCTTCTGCGCACGCAGAGCAACACTGTGCGCCTTGACGGGTGTCTTGCTGACGGGCTGGGAGGGGATCAGGAAGGTGCCTGGAGCCACTCGCACGCCATGGCAGGGGAGAAGCGCCGATAGCAGAAAAAACGCAAACACCGCCATCACCGTGTACAGACAGTTTCACACATCATGATGCTGAGGGGCTGAGGGGCCAGACAGTCACGAGTGCGATTGTCTCTCATTCGTGTCAGGGTCAGGCGGCGCCAGGAAACGAACCAGATATACCAACCGACACTCAACTGTGATTTTTCTCACCATTAGGGACGTGCATGTCGTGTGAGTGGGGGGGGGCTGGGTAGATAGGACGTGTGCATGCTTCCATGCATGTGCATGTTGCTAGTTCATACGTCACATGGCAGGATCCCCTCAGACACGAGTCTCGTTAAACACACTAACCAACCAACCAACCAACCAACATGCCAACCAACATGAACCACACCGTCCCATCCTTACCGCCCGCCTGGCGGACAACGCGCTGACAACACACTGGACCAACGGACCGCTAACCTGGCCATGCGAATTTCCTACCAACCTAGCAGGCACCCAAAACACATCAAAACGGGTCAAAACACATTGCATGGCCTCTCTCCCCCGCAGACAACGAAGTCGAATGGCAAAATTCATCCACTCACACACCTGTGTGAGTGTGTCAGCAGCACACCGTCACGCATACGCATGCCAGGCAGTCACCACACTACTAAACAAAATGCGCAGCCGCCTTAGTGTGAGCCAATCCACCCACGCGGCAGACACATGCATACGGGCACGCAGAGACAGATGCATTGCTGTTCCCGGCCCCCTGCACGCAGCCCTGAGAACGGCCGTCCCAATCCATTTAGAGTTCGGCAAGGACGAGTGACTCTCGTCTCACTGACGCATACGAAGGTTGTATCCGCAATGACCCTTGCGCGCTGACCAGCAAGGATAGATAGAGGTCTCCTGCTTCACTCTCTGAATAAAGCCGTTTGCGTCATGCCGCTGAGCTCCTGCTGCGAGCCACCGGAGGTCATTGCAACCGAGACACCCCCAGCATTGCAGCTCCCGAAACGGGGGGCAGCCGGTGTCAATCGGCGATACAGAGACGACGAACAGGCACAGGCAGGTCTGTACACAAAAACGATCATTGACAAACAACAGCAAGGAGAGTGATAGCTCAACTGTCCACTTACCGGCCCACAACATTCCATACGCAGAAGGGCCACACCATAGTGCGACTCGGAGGAGCGCTGAATGACGAAAGCACACGGACCTGAAGGGGATGGTCCATGAGGAAGCCAACACCGATCCTTTGCTCATTCACGTCACAGCCGATTGCCACATCGAGAGCTCAGCGGTGCTCGCTCAATCCCCGGTCAGGGCTGCACAGCACATCCATCACGCACCGAGAGGAAGAGTCTTTCCAGTCGAGTCTCAGCACCCTTTCTGCGTGCTATCGAGCAATTTTCATCGCCTTGCGCTAGATCGCGTACCACCTCTTCATCAGCTCCTCTCCTCGCGCGTGTCAAAGCCGGTGGCTGCAAGAAGCCTCTTCTTGCAAGCCAAAAGGGCCTGTTGATGCCTATCGAACTATCGCCCGGGAGTACGGTTTGGAACGTCTGAAAGGGAGGAAAGAGGCCAGAAGGCATAAGGACGTCGGGACCGAATCATGCCGTACCGAGGACAGCCACCAGGGGTGATATACTTCACATTTGAAGCGTGTGCCCCGGCAACGGCCTATCACACCCAAACCTGCCGAATCAAGCCGCGAATGACACGCAGAAGAGAGCAAAATCAATCTATCAGTGTTGTGAATATCCCCTTACCAACTGCCTGTCCGGCATATTTGAAGCCCTGAATGACACGCACAAGAGAGCAGAATTTATCACAACATATGTCCTCCTGTAAAGTCGTTATGTCCTGTGCTTGGCTTTACTTGAAAGTCGTAGCAGCCCTTTTTCGTGCTGATAACTGCCCGGTCCGTCATGCAGAACTGTGTACGGGGAGCGGACAGGACAGGAAGATGACATCATTTGCTTTCTGATGATCAGCGCTGCCTACATCTCTTTGTGGACCCAGCGTGGTCGAGAGGGCGGTGGCGTCAGAGCTGTGACATGCACGTGTTAGTCAGCGTCCATCCGTGTGTGGGCTTTCATCTTCTCTCTACCTGACGAACCCAAAACGCTGCTGAATCTCCTCACGCTCCTCACGCGTCAGGTCCTGCAGATTACGCCCTCGGTCGCTTGTTTTGCTTGTCACATTGTCTTTCGTGACATTGAAAGACACCATCACTCGCAACGACTGTGGCTCGATGATAACGGCGGCAGGCTGTGAGTGATTGTTTTCCAGCCAGAGGCCACTGTTCCTGATGACTCGCAGACGCTGTCCCGCAGCCAGGTCGATGTACACAGTGGGCTCTGTGAGGTTGGCAGTTGTGTCTTCTTCTAGACTGGGCTGTTTAAGTGGGGATCTGCGGCAGTGCCTGACCCTCCAAAATCCTCCGATCGCGGTGGCGTTGGCCCCAGCGAACGTCAGGTGGGTTGCCTCTAACCTCTCCATGTCTTCAAGCGCTTGGTCGTCTAGCAGGTCAAGGAGATCCAGTTCATCCTCCTCAGAACGAGCGCTGATGGGCAGGCCTGCAAGCAGTCGGCACAACGACGGGGCACAACACACCACAAACAAGGGTACTTACAATAAGAGAGCTTCAGGTGAAATAAAAGACTGACCAGCGAAGAAGCACGCGGCGCGGAAAGGTGTGACCTCTCGTGTGAGGATCATGTTGGTAGTGAGCAATGCTATCACCAGAAGAGTACGGCGGCACATATGCCACGGGCGGGCCCAAGAGGACCGGGACCTAATAGAGAAGAGTTTGTGAAATGACCTCTAGACCGCCAGCACCAGCGTCAGCCCCCGCCATTGGGGGGTTGGCGGGCCTCTGAGGCATCAGCATACCACCCGTCAGTGCACCGCGACGGGTTGACACCTTTTGGATCTGCAACGAAGGGACGGACAACTGCCTCCACCAACTTCATGTGTTTCGAAGCGGTGCGTACCTTTCGGCCTTGGTTTGGCAGAGAGAGACGTTCACAGCTTGCATCATTCAGTTTCACGACTCGGACTTGCCCCCTCATGCCACCTTCCTCCGTGCTTCCCTGAGCTGATTCTTCTCTCTTAGGTGAGCTGTTTCAGCAAGGCTACCTCACCCGCCGTAGCTATGCAGCCGTCTGGAGTGTCACCGAGGAAGGCATCAATTGGCGGGAGAATGCGGTCGTTCTTACAGTCGTTGGGTGGTCTGGCTGGCTCTGTGTCGCCGAGTATGGGAGAAACGCTGGAGCACTGGGGCGAGTCCCTTCATTCAAGTCCGTCCATGCAAACTGACCCACTTGCTGCCCACCGCAGTGCCCTTCACATCTACAGACAGGCGCTGCAGGTGCTGCTTGAGGAAGGGATTGCATTCAAGAGAGTCGTCGAGGCGGCAAATGAACTCAGGGCGGCCAAGCTCCACACGTCGCTGCACAACTTCTACGGTGTGGCAACAGGGATGGGTCACAAGAAAATCGAATGACACTCATATGTTTTGGCGCGTGATCAGGCGAAGGTATATTGGAGCAGGCGTGCACGGCATATGCTGACGCTGTGAGCATTGCACAGTACGAGCGTGCACCTTCCTTACTCGTTTGCGGTGTCCTGTGTGCAGCATTTGCAGTTCATACCGACAAGTAGACTCAATAGCTTCCCGCTGATATCATGTGACCCATGAATGCTGGTCTGCCCGTCCTTTTGCTCGCATCTCAGGAACGGTGGTCCACAGCGATCTTGAACACCTCTGCACTACAATCCAGCACAAGATGGACACCATCGACAAGAGTGAGTAAAGAAAACCAGCGTGAAGGAATGCATTTGTGTCTGCCGTCATCCAACGTGACGTGGCCTCAGTCAAGGTGAAGTTGGAGAGACGGGACAGAGCATTTGAGCAGCTGGAGGAACAGCGACGAAGGGTGAGCCCTGCGAACAAATAGAAGTACATGCGCTGTCTTGTGTTCAAGACACATGTGCATGCAGGTAGACGACTTGCGGGAGAAGGCCGCGCGAGCAGCGGACGCCCAAAGACATTCGGTCGCTGGTGCACCGACAGCGGGAGAGCCCGCCGAACAAGATGCAGCCAACAACCGTGAGTACATAAAACCACCGACGTGGCCATTCATTTGTTAACTGCGTTTCGTGTCCGATCTCAGGCCGTGGGTCAGCCACAGTTACGGTGAACGTTACAACGACGAGTGGCGGCTCGTCTCCGTCTGATAAGGAGGAAGGCCGCCTAGCGACCATGACGGCAGCATTCGACGAGATGTCCAAAGACATAAGCGACGACCTGACAGAGTTGCTCGCTGAGTGTTTCAAGTGAGCGCACTCAGAAGAAGCTTGCACGCTTATTGTCGACCGTATATCGCATCCAGTGCATGAATTGATAGGTTCGTGTACACCCATCTGGCGCAGCTACTTCGATCGCAGACGTCCTTCTTTCACGACGGTGGTGTGGCATTCGACTCTCTGCCCCCACATGCAGAGCAACTCATGAGCGGCGATCTCGAGGACCTCCACAGAGCAGAAGAAAAGGAGAAAGAACGGCAAAGGGAGAAGGACTTGAAAGCCGACGAACACAGCGAGGAGAAAAAAGAGGAGGGAGGGGACAAGGAGGACTGATTGACGATAGCTTGACTCAATGACGGGTGATTTGTGCGAAGCTGTGGCTTGATTGAGGTGGTTGTATGGGTGGATGCAGTGTATTGAGTCTGCTTGTCTGTAAAACACGGCACGATCATGTACATTAAAATAAATGCAAACCTAAACACTGACGGACATACTTGGACATCTTGTTCCCACCAATGTCTTGCATGTGTCTGTGGTTTCTTGTGTGAAGGAATACGTGCTGCGTGGGACGACGCCATTTTTGGTTATGGGGTAATTTGGATTTCTCTCCGGTCTGAGCCGGTTTCCTGTTGCTTTTCTGTCAAGACATCATGTTTAGCAGCTCGAGAACGCCATGTCGCCACATGCGATGTATTCATCTACTCATCTTACCTCTTTGTGAATTCCCGTCCATGTCAGCGAGCTTCGGACTCACAAGGGACTGCAAAACAACCCTGTGCGACCGGAACTTCGTCATTTTGGCACCTGTCCACACTTTGACACTCTGACACAGTTTCTCAGTCAAGCCCCATGCGACCATCCCGGACTTCCTTCACCTCCAGTGGGTATTTCTGAAGAGAGAAACGGGACTGGAGCGTTCGTGGCGTCACAGGGAAACCCCTCTTGAGCTTTCAGAGCCCCCAAAAAATCAAACATCCGCCTCCCAGCCGTTTCTTGACAACGGTCGGCAGCGAGGCTGGATTCTCTTGCATCCGAGCTGTTCAGTCCAAATAAACCATGCCATGCTGTCGTCTATCATCCAAAGGTGGATTTCATGCCCCTTACACGAGCCCCAAAATTGGTCAGAAGATGAGGTCGTGTCTCTGACCCCAGCCAGTGGCCCCTGCTTGTGTCTCTGACACACATCCGCAGACATCGGGCACGTCACCAGACTCGTGATATGTTTCTCTCCTGAGCCATTCAGACCTCCAAAATCACAAAAATAGCCTACTCTGACAACAAGACGGCCATGTATGCGCTCATGCCATCGTGCCATCGTGAACTCATCGTAAAACCGCGCACCCTAGCCCCCTGAATCACGGGAGGATAGATCTCGGAAACAGATCTTTCTCTTGTGTGTGCTGCTCCTTCTTTCATCCCTTAACAGCATTCGGGCCCTGAAGTCTCGCAAGATGGCGGGTGCAGCACGGCGGTCGCAACGGAGGCGCCACGACGGACGGAGAGCGCCTGTGTGCTTGCACTTGTTTTCCGTGTGTTTGCTTCTCTGGGACGCGTGGAGGTGAGAGAAAACGACTACAGACTGTCTTCTGAGACACTTGTCTTTTTTCTTCTGGAGAGGGACGGTGGGCCTGGGGCCTCAATGATGTAGTCTATGGAACGCCGGGATTCCGGTGCAGGTTCGGCAACCCTAGGGGTGAGGCTCTCGCCAAGGTGAACGCGTGTTGCCTGGACTTCATTGACAAGCGTTGTGACAAAACCTTCCAGTCTACGAGTTGCTTGGTGAGATGCTCACTGAAACCCGAGACCCAACGCTGCGGTCAACTGCATGTCCACGGACACACTTGTGTGCAGGCGATCCGTGAGCACACCACAAGAGGCCTGGAGCGGCCTGTGGGGGCGCTCTACTATTTTGGAACTGGCTTTTCGTTGAAGTCGGCACGGCGGAATGCAAAACTGGTACGTCCCATACACAGCCTAAAGAGGCACGATAGTTCCCTTGTCGTGTCAATGACATCCCTCAGGCGTGCTTCCTCGACCCCCAAATTTCTTTTAGTGCGTGCAGCAGGCACTACACATTGGTGTCCAACGAGTGTCCCAGCAGGCGCCTGCTCCAGGACATCATCTTGTCCCAGAACAACAGCAGCATGGCCACGACCAGTCAGCGTCGTGGCGAGTCGGTACGCTAAATATGTTCAGCGCTGTGCTGTCACCGAACGCACCCGTCATAAGCGCTCGCATTGGTGTCTGCATCAGGCCCCTTTGTTGTTCACGGGGTTCATCGTGGCACGTTGGCAATGAGCACTGTCCGCTCTACTCCCTACCGTGGTGTGTCATCTATCAGGATGGTGGGAATGGCGTCGTGGAGGCGCTCGACACTGTCTTCGCATCACCAAACACCGACCCAGGCATGAAGGTCGCGTACGACTTGGCAAAGGAATGGGGACCAGGTCAGTGAGTCTCCTCTCGGGGGACGGCACTGAACGGGTGGGAGGGGGCCGTCCAGTCTGCCGCTCGGTCATTGGTCGTGTTAATGTGTACTGTGTTGATTCGCAGACCCTGGCCCACCGAAGGGCTTCCAACCCATGGAAAAGAATCTGGGATTGCTCCCCGGCCTGTCTGGTGAGGATGGTGGGCGGCGACAGGAAAAGGACGGACCGATCACAAACCACACTGCTGGTGGGCAGGGTGCACACCAGTACACAGCTACATAGCTCGAGCACCCGGATCATGTGGGTTGTCTGCCCATTGCTGCATGATCATTTTGCACCACTCGTGGTGGAATTAGTTTGATTGTCCTATGTGTCCTCTGTCTGTATCGCGTACACCCGCGCACCGTAAACACAACTAGTATCCTGCCCCAGGCTGTGCACGCAGTCTTAATACTTGCATAGGTAGTCAAGCTGCGCGTGCAGCTCAGTATTTGTGTTCTTTGTACACCCGTGTGCTGCCCTCCCTCAGCTACAGTCCCTGTGATTCATTGTGGGGGGATTGTGGGTGTGGATGATAGTGTATGGGCGACCGAGTCTTACATGCTGCTTATGTGCACCTTGTTATTGTTGTGCCCATCCGGGCCATTCCGATTTTTCGGGTTTTCATTCCATTTGTGTAGCCATGCGATGCTTTTCACTAGCCGTATATGAAGTCTTATTTCGATATCCAGGTAGGTTCCGTGTACGCTGATGCACTCCCTACCTGTGATGCTGTGACGAGAGCGCGACGACAATTTTTGACGTCCTTGGCTAGTCAGGTGAGTCTGTGCGACTTGCAATGGCTGTCCATCAGCGCTTTGCTTCTGGTGGTGCAGGACGTCAGGCTCGTTCGATGAGACACATGTGGTATCGATTTTTCATCTGCTCTTCTATCCAATATAGCACGCTCCATACCCATACGTGTGAGGCGTGGGTTGAATCGTATCATGTGAAACGGACTCTGCTGCGTTCTGATGATCTCAAGAGGTCTCACATGTCATTGAGTGCCATGACAATGAGCGTGCAACGGGCAAGAAACGAAAGAATCACTTTGTCATTCTGCACCGACACGGCGTCACACGGAGCACACTGAATCAATCAATGATGGATCATTGTCATTGACATGCCCTCGCATGATTTTTGTTTATCGCTCTCGCGCGTGCAGCTGGCTACTGTCTGCGTGGGGGAGGGGAGGGAGGGGTGTGCTGAGGGGCGGGGATCGATCCCTCATCCCCTTGAGCCGGTTTGGCTCTCCGTGCTCATGGGACTGTGTTTATTTATGGGTGTCACGGACACACAGGAGTGTTATGGTTAACGCAAGTTGTTTCTCGCATGGTCTTCACTGGCCGTACGTGACGTGGTGTAGTCTTGTGTCCACGGTACGATCTTTCGTCTGCCATTCTATCCAGCCGCCTGTTGATCTGTATGGCGATATTGGATGCTCTCCAGAGACATGTAAAAGTAGTTGCGCAGCTGGTCTATCCTTCCCCCTGACCGTCAGCTGTCCTGATACCCTCTCGCACATTGACCCACACCATCTCACCCCTTGCAAGCCCCTAGAAGCTTCGAAAGACGACTGTCCCATTCCCGCCTCTTTGCATCCTTGCTCAGCCAGCCAACTTGCCACGGCCATTGCAGCCAGGAGAGTCCCTTGCGCCCTTACGACCTGACAAAGCTCATCGAGAACACCCAGGCCCCGCGCTCGTTTGACGGACACATCTAGGAGCAGCCCTTTTCTTCTCTTCTCGTGTTTGTTGAGCCAAACAAAGCGCACAGTGGTGTTCCCCTTTCATCGAAGGTGGATTTCATGCCCAATTTGTAGCGAGGAAAAATACGATAGGTCCCCAAGCAGTGCAAGCACATGTGTCCGTATCAGGTACGTACAATTGTATGTATCAGCTGTGTATAGATGTGCCTGTGGCTGATGGATGGTTGGATCTCTCTGCTCGCCTGTGGATGGCGGGTTTGAAGGTGGAGGACCTACAGCGGTGTTCTCTATGCCATTTGGTTTGCATTCGCGCAATCCTCCTTCATTTGCGTGTCATCGAGTTGGAGGAAGGAAGAAAACAGACAGGAAGATCAAGGCGGATTCGAAACGGACTGACCGCACGCAAAAAGCCGAAGCCAGTTTCTCGGGATAGCGAATTCAACCCACGCCTCAGACGCATGGGTAGATGGAGCGTGGTATATTGATCAGTGCAGGTGGATGGATTGATAGAATATCAGACGAAAAATTGATACCGCATGTGTCTCATCGAACGAGCCTGACGTCCTGCACCACCAGAAGCAAAGCGCTGATGGACAGCCATTGCAAGTCGCACAGACTCACCTGACTTAGCCATGGACGTCAAAAATTGTCGTCGCGCCCTCGTCACAGCATCAGAGGTAGGGAGTGCATCAGCGTACACGGAACCTACCTGGATATCGAAATAAGACTTCGTATACGGCTCGTGAAAAGCATCGCATGGCTACACAAATGGAATGAAAACCCGAAAAATCGGAATGGCCCGGATGGGCACAACAATAACAAGGTGCATATAAGCAGCATTTACGACTCGGTCGCCCATACACTATGAACCAACACCCATAATCCCACAATGCATCTGGCACGCTCATCATACAAATTGTGGATGTCGTCGTGACCGGCTGACTGCTTGCCGATGCGATTCAAGGAACACACCGGCAGACGTATGCTCAATGACTGATGTCGGCACAGAACAATTGCGATCAGATAGATATACAGACACAAATGCTGCACGAAAATCGCCAAAATCATGGCGTCGGCGGCGAACCGCAGGCATACGACTTAACTACAGTTGATGGCTTAAGCCGCCTGCCCTGTCCATTCACAGGAACAACCTGGTAATATTCACACTCTTCCCGGGCAGCGGGGACGTCCAGCCTGTGTCAACAGAGGAGATATGCACGTGAAGGTTGGATGCCTCCCCATCTGTCTGTCCTCCCTCGCACCGGTGTTCAAAATGCCGCCGGTCGAGCGTCATGACGAGCTTCTTGGGCGGGGCTGCCTTGTCCTTGTACACCAACCACTGGGTGTCACCACACAAGGGCACAGAGCAATGAGACGGACCGACACACCACTGACTGATTGCATTTGTGGCTGTCGCACCTTGGC